TCCGGTGGAAGTAGAGTGGGATGAGGCCAATCTGATTGAAGCCTGGGAGCAAGGTATCACGCTTCCCGGCGCCCCTCAGCTGTTCGTCGCAGCAGGGCATACGTACTCCCAGCTGTTCACTGAGGAGGAGATCAAAAAGAAGGTCATTAAGACCGCCGAGGAGTCGGTACCTAAACAGTACCACAAGTTCCTGAATGTCTTCTCCAAGGAAGCATCAGAACGGCTACCCGAAAGGAAGCCTTATGATCATGCGATCGAACTTGTGCCCGGCTACTCGATGTTCCACTCGAAGGTGTATCCCCTATCGAACAATGAGCAGGAGGAACTCGACAAGTTCCTAAAGGAGCAGCTGGTGAAAGGCTACATACGGGAGTCGAAATCGCCCATCTCATCCCCTTTCTTCTTCATCAAAAAGAAGGAAGGGACGCTTCGACCCGTGCAGGACTACCGCCGATTAAACGCAATCACAGTCAAAAATCGTTACCCCCTGCCGTTGATCGCTGAGATGGTGGATAAGCTCCACGGCGCTACGCTCTTTACGAAGTTCGATGTCCGATGGGAATACAACAACGTCCAGATCAAAGCCGGTGACGAGTGGAAGGCGGCTTTTGTGACTAACCAAGGGTTGTATGAGCCCTTGGTGATGTTCTTTGGCCTCACCAATTCCACCGCAACCTTCCAGGTGATGATGAACGAGATCTTCCACGATCTCATCGTCGGTGGCAAGATCCTCATGTACCTGGATGACATACTCATCTTCTCTACCAACAAGGAGAAGCACGAGAAGGTCACACGCGAGGTTCTTCGTCGCCTTCAGGATAACGATCTATTCCTGAAGCCTGAGAAGTCCGAATGGGATGTTCCCAAGGTCGACTACGTCGGCTATGTGTTCGGTGGCGATGAGGTAGCGATGGATCCCGCGAAACTGAAAGGAATTAATGAGTGGCCAGTACCCCGGAACAAAAAGGATGTTCAAAAGTTCCGGGGGTTCTCTAACTTTTACCGCCACTTCATTAAGGACTTCGCTAAGATCTTGTGACCACTCGACCGGCTCACAGGGAATGACCCATGGCATTGGGGCAAGGAAGAGCAGCACGCCTTTGATGAGCTCAAGCGGCTCTTCGCGACAACTCCAGTCTTAGCGCTGTACGATCCTAATCAAGAAACGCGCATTGAGGTTGACGCCTCGGGCTACGCCACTGGCGGCGTGTTGATGCAGAAGCAGGATGACGGCAAGTGGCATCCCATTGCCTTCAGATCCCATGCGATGGATCCAGCACAGCGGAACTACGAGATCTATGATAAGGAGATGCTTGCGATCATCGAAGCACTGGATGATTGGCGCCATTACCTCGAGGGACTACCCAATCAGTTTGAGATCGTCACCGATCACAAGAACCTCAAGTACTGGCGCATGTCCCAGCATCTTACACATCGCCAAGCACGCTGGTCGCTGTTCCTAGCCCGCTTTGACTTCCGCATCACGCACAAAGCTGGGATGTCGAATGGAAAAGCTGATGCCCTGTCACGTTGATCAGACCATCAGATCAGCAATGAGGATGACAACACCGATCAGGTAATTCTCAAGCCAGAGCGCTTCCACATCGCCTCCACCCGGCGTGGCCATGCCTCGGTGACGGCCGATCAGTCGCTTCTGAAACGCATCAGGGAATGTTCGGAGAAGGATCGTGTAGTGGCCGAGGCACTGGAAAAGGTGCAGGATCTCGGACCACCCCGGCTGCAAAGGGGCTTTGAGGAGTGGAATGCTGAACAAGGGCTTCTGCTGTTCCGCGGGTGCGTGTACGTCCCAAAGAACGTGGAGCTCCGGCGGGATATAGTCAAGATCCACCACGACTTGCCGATCGCCGGTCATGGTGGTCGTGCCAAAACCCTGGAGCTCGTATCGCGGAATTACTGATGGCCTGGGATGTCCAAATTTGTCAATGAATACGTAAGCACCTGCGATGTGTGCAACTGTACCAAAACATTCCCAGCCAAGCCCCAGGGTCCGCTGAAGCCGAACGAGATCCCCGAGCGCCCGTGGCAGATCATCACGACTGATATGATTGTTGGCTTGCCAAAGTCTGATGGGTTCGACTCGATCCTGGTTACCGCCGACCGCTTCACAAAGCAGGTCCACTTCTCGGCCTGTCATGAGACCCTGACGGCAGAAGGTGCGGCAGACCTGTACATCCGTGATGTGTTCAAGCATCATGGGGCCCCGGCCAAGGTCATATCAGACCGAGGTCCCCAGTTTGCTTCAAAGTATCTCCATGCGGTGTACAAGGGACTAGGGATCGAGCCGGCGCTGTCTACAGTGTTCCACCCTCAGACGGACGGCCAGACTGAGCGCTGGAATCAGGAGATCGAGCAGTACCTGCGTGCTTTCACAAGCCACAGGCAGGATGATTGGGTGAAGCAATTGCCGCTCGCGGAATTCGCACTGAACAACCGAGTTCACTCCGCGACCGGGCACTCCCCTTTCTTCCTGCATCAAGGGTACAATCCTGAGATCCAAGTGCGGATCAATCCGATGTCTGCGATGCCTGCGGCCACTGATCGGCTCAAGATCCTGAAGGAGATTCGCGACGATACGCGCTCCGCGCTTGAGCTGTCAGCCGAGCGTATGAAGGTGTACTACGACAAGCACGTGCAGGAGGCACCGGTCTTCACGCCGGGGGACAAGGTCTGGCTTGATACCCGGAACCTTAAGCTGAAACAGCCGAGCAAGAAGCTTAGTCCCAAGCGCCTTGGACCTTATGCCGTGTGGCGAAAGCTCGGAGACTTGGATTACGAATTGGTTCTGCCAAAGTCGGTGCCAGTGCACCCAGTGTTCCATGTCTCCTTGCTTAGCAAGTACACGCGTAGTGAGATTCCGGGCCGGGAGCCGGAGGAGCCGCCTGCAATTGAGATTGAGGGCGACGAGGAGTACAAGGTTGAACGTATCAAGGATTCGAGGATCTTCCGGCGTGAACTACAGTACCTCGTCAAGTGGAAGGGTTATGACGACTCACATACGTCATGGGAACCGGTGCGCAACGTTGCGAATGCGCCAGCCCTCATAGCCGACTTCCACCGGAAGAACCCAAATGCCCCTCGCCGCCTCAACGCCGCTACCTTTGGTGGTCTTAACTTTTAGCCGATGCCTTCGCCGCTGACCGAAGCACGCTGCCGCTCCGGGTGGGAGATGGGCAAGGGCGCCTCGCATGAGGTCATGCGCCGTTGAGGGGGGGGTAATGTCACGAGTTGGTACGGCGTCTAGCCGTTTTTGAATTTTTTCCTTTTCGCGGGCTCGAACCCGCAACCTCTCTGCTACTTGCCTGATACGGACACATCATATCTACTGTACGATTAGATTAGATAGGACGGCAGTGCACGGCACAGCTCGGGCTCCGCTGACACAGCCACTCTGACTCACCGGCCCCCGGGGCCGCATCGGCATGCTGTGCACGGACCAGCTGCGCACGGACCAGCGCGCACAGCCTGCCCTTATCTCTCCATGTATATAAGCTGGCCTCTGCTGCCCTAGGGACCTCAGTTTCGACCTCTTGTCCCTAGGTCAGTAAGCTCATGTATTACTTACCTACTTACCAATGCTAACTTATCTTGTCCCTAGCCTTAGGTTTGAGCCTCGCTCACCATCGCTTCGGTGAGAACCAGTCGAACGCCCCCAGCATCTTTCAGTCTGTGTTTCCCCTGTCGCTCGACCCTAAGTCGCGACACTAACTTTATGCGGTCGACAGACCAATCCGATCTGAGTCAGTGTTGGGCCAGTCGTCTGCCAGTCATCCCAGTCGTTCCCACGACTGGGGCGATTAATCAACGACTGTATGACAGTCAAAAAGTCGCGGTGACTTTTCCCACGGCTTGCGCAGACACAGCCCAATATTCACATGCGCCATTCTGGTACGCAGGCACCCAAAGAGTTCCAAAGAGGCATCGGATCAAGGGATGAGGGGGCCCAATGACTTTACTTGGCTGCCTCTCTCTGTCATTGAGAGATCTATTTGACTTCAAGATGCCGCAAGGATGGAAAAGAGGGACGGACATATTTGCAGGATGAAATTGAGTTGTACAAGCTTCTCGACTTCTCATCTTCAATGCAGAAGATAGCATTGACTGAGTGCTGAGTCTCTGCCAATAGGATATACATGTATTTTCATTTACATATCTTGCTAACATCACATCCTGTTGTGTACATTATTTTGTGGCCAAATCTCCCTCCATTCCCGCATCACCTCTAATGTCAGGTGTGACTGAATGGTCGTGGGAATAGTCGCCGCCGTGGGAACAGTCGTCGTCGTTTGTAGTCGTTTCGACTGACATCATGCGACTAAACAACAGTCGCACGATCATTCGACGACTCGCACAACACTGATCTGAGTGTAGTACATCGACTTCGAATAGACACCGCCGGGTCGGGTCATAACCTGGATTATGAACTCAGAATCAAGTCCATCTGTCCTAAAAGATAGCTCTCTATATGGAATCGGTGCGGTGGACCAGGGATAGGCACTTATCGGGCGCTCTTAGTACTAGATGCCGTTCTATCGGAATGATCCGAGAGACGCTGCTTACTCGGTAGGCTAATCAGTCAATTGAAAGCTTCAGCAGTACTTGATCGCGAAGTCAGACCAACATCAAGCAAGATGATAAAACTATGTAACCCTGCAGAGCTCTAAGGCCGCATGTGAACATTTGATCGATAGGCATTCTCGTCTCGTCCCTACCAAAACTCTCCCAAATATATGCCTGTTCAATATTGATTCATCACGACTCCTAGCTGGCGTGTGTGATGGAGTACTCCGCACGTAAATCGGCCGGTAACGGTATATAACTCCTAGACATATTCCCACTCATGTCAGCGGATTCAGGGTGCAATGCATCGTGGAAGTACTTCCATGATAGCTGTCCTCTTTTGCCGCGGGTTGAGAAACGCCTGGCAATACAAAAGCCGGCGTCCGCCTGTGAAACTTGAATGAAGCATCCTTCGATTCATAATGGCCCTGCCACTCACCTACGCATGCCTTTGTGTCTTCTTAGTCTCCAGTTTTGTTTTATGGCTTGACAGACGGCTTCGTCGCTTCCCTATGCCTCCCGGTCCGCGTGGGTTTCCTATTATCGGAAATGCTTTGCAAATGCCTCAGGAACGTGAGTGGGTCAAGTTCACTGAATGGGCCAAGACATATGGTATGTGGATCACTGCGAATACCGCAGACCGATCGATATGAATAATGTAATCTCTAGGTGGCATCATACATCTTTCCGTTTTCAATAGACATTTCATTGTCTTGAACGACGCGGAAGCCATAGCCGAATTGCTCGAGAAGAGGAGTGCGATCTACTCTGGTAGACCGTTTTCCCCTCTGGCCAGCGAGTTGTGCGTCTCCCACCTCCTTTTACACGATCATTGTTGACTGTGTGTGCCAGAATTGGCTATGACAAGTTCATCATATTGGAGCCCTACGGACCCCGCTTACGAGAAGGTCGCAAACTCCTCCTTAACAGCTTCAGCACGCGCAACATGGCCAGTTTGCACACAGTACACAAGTCCAAGGTATCCCTGTTTCTGCGTAAGCTTCTTGAGGATGATGTGAACTTCCGCTTGCATGTACGATGGTGAGCACAAGCGATACTTGTCACATCTGAAAATGAGATTGTGCATGAACATATAGGTTGGTTGCTGCCATCATCTTTCAAATCTCGCACGGCCGCAATATCACACATTTCAATGATCCCTTCGTCAAACTCGTTGAAACGACCAATGAAGACTTTGCGCTCTCAGTTAGACCATTTGTCTATCTAGTCGACAGTCTGCCGTTCCGTGAGGACTCTGATACCCTCTCTGACGGGTGCAATGTATCTTATAGGAGTTTTATTCGCTTTAGTGAAGTATGTACCCGATTGGGTACCCGGAACCGGCTGGAAATCTGTGGTCAAAGAAAGGCGACGCACGCTAGACAGGCTACGCGACTATCCTTATGAAGTCGTAAAACAACAACTTGTGAACATCGTCGCTTGCGATCCTGTGGATATACGTTGACCACTAGTGAGCCCAGGCTCAAGGTACAGCGCAGCCCTCGATCACAGCGTCCGTGATAGAAAGCAATCCTAATCCGGGTCCTGAAGAGGAAGAGCTGCAAAAGACCTCCACGAGCGTCTTGTATTCAGGTGAAATTTGACGCATTGCGAGGGATGTGTTTGCATTAACAACTCCTTGCAGCTGCAGCTGACACGGTAAGAATTGCAGTACCAATTCAAGGCCTGAATGTTGACACACATGCAGTCGGTCTCGGCGATTGATTCGTTCTTCTTGATCATGGCGCTATACCCAGAAGTACAGAAGAAAGCACAGGCCGAGCTCGATACTGTCGTCGAGGCCGGAAGACTGCCGGACTATAGCGATAGAGACAAGCTGCCTTACATTGACGCCTTGATTAAGGAAGTGTTGCGGTGGAACCCTGTCGCCCCACTAGGTGTGGACTGATACGCGCTCGTGTTGATAAAGCTATCGGACTTGCAAGCTCATGGACAGCGATACAGCTCTTCCACATAGTCTTATGGAAGACGACACATATCGAGGCTACCACATACCGAAGGATGCTACTGTGCTGGCCAACAGCTGGTGAGTGCGTGTCGTTGCTGTATATATCACTGTTCTGATCCATTCCAGGGCCGTAATGCACGACCCTGTGCTCTATCCCGACCCCTTCGAGGTGAAGCCGGAGAGATATCTGAGTGATCAAGGTGCTCCAAACCCCGACCCTCGGCAGTTCGCCTTCGGTTATGGAAGACGGTCTGTTGTGTTATCTGATCACCCTTGATTATGCATTGACTGTATATGTCGTGCCTGAAGTGTCTGTCCTGGACAGCTACTAGCTGAGGACACGCTCTTTCTTCTGATAGCATCGGTATTGTCAACGATGAACATTACGAAGGCGATAGGCCCTGACGGCCTACCTGTCAAAGTCGATGTCGAATACACTTCCGGGGCCATAAGGTTTGTCCACCTGAAGTGACGTACATATACATGAATACTTAGCGGGTTCCATTCTCAGCCATCCCATCTCCGTACAGTGTAGCATCACTGTACGGTCAGCGGAATCTGAAAGGTTCATTCTCACCAACGCGAGCCGAGATGGAGAGGCTTGAAGCCCTGTGATCACCTGCTATTATCTCGTAGACTTGAACTGTGAGAGAGCCTGTTCCAAAATGTAGGGAATGAAGGATAGTACAATCTGTGACATCATCGTTATCAGGAATATCTCCACCGGTCAGAATGAATTTATCTCACGCATTCATCGAAACCATGTTCACACATGTACTTCATGAACACGACACAGACCACGTGAAGACGACGGTTTGATTCAACTCTCAGAGGGCCGTCAGCGAAGACCAGCTAGTGTATGGGTTCCATTTCTTCAGACAGGCATAATGACACGGCGCGCCATCATTTTCATGCTAATGAAGTACTCCCAGTTCTAGCGAGGATGAAACCACGCGCGTGCCTCGAATTGTAGGAACGTCACCCACATACCCTCGGCTTGATTCGCTTCCTCATGTCATCCTCTGTCATGGAATCATCTAGCTTGCTTCTCCCATATCAAGGTTTCTCAACGTCAGCTGTCGGAACTCTGGCCTCGCTGTCTATGCTCGTGGTCCTTGATTCCCGTAACTCTCGGTAGGGCACCCATTTCACTGCAGAATCTCTCCATCAACTCGAGTCAGAGATAATCCAGACTCCCGTTTACACAGCACTGTGTTGTTTGCTTGTTTTAGTTGCCACTCGCCTGCTCGGCAAGCGGTCCTCCCGCTTGCCCATGCCTCCTGGGCCGCGAGGGCTCCTTTGATCTGAAATGCTCGTCAAATGCCCCGCGAGTGGGAGTGTATCACCTTCGACAAGTCAACGAAGGCATATGGTGTGTTATTGTTTAACATCGTGATTGAACCACGATAGAAGATGGATAATCCATGCACCCAGGCGAGGTCATGCGTCTCTCTGTCTTTGGTAGGCATATCACGTATTGAGCTCCCCAAACGTAATCTTCGACCTGCTGGAGAAGAGGAGTGCTATATACTCTGATCGGCCATTCTTCACGATGGCGAGCAGATGGTGCCGATTCTCCTATATATGCAGACAGCGTACGCTGAAAGCTCTATCTAGTATCGGTTTCGACAAGTACATTGTAATAGAGCCATACAGACACCGTCTGAAAGAGGGTCGCAAGCTCATCCAAGGGAACGTCAACGCACGAGGCGCGCTGAGAATGCAGCAGGGGCAAATCTCGAAAGGTCACAATTCTTGTCCAAGGTCCTCAGGAATAACTGGTGTCGCTTTTGGCTTTCGTTTTTGTTTGGGCATCCGTGTTGTCGGGCTGAGCGCGCGCGCAGATACACGCTGCCCATCGAGGCCGTGGACACCCACCGACCTAAGCCTAAAGCGGCTCACCAACCGGCCGAGGTGCCCATGTCTACGTCGAAGCGTCAGTACTACGCGGACGGAAACGCGAAGCGATAGTGCATCATATACGCAGGGAATGTGTAGGAACCTCAACGAGGAGGCGGGCGATACAGCGTCTCTTATATACTTAAGGTGTCTGGCTTTGAACTCGTCAACACGGCCCTCATTTGCTCTGTGTATATGCTGGCAGTAGTCATACAAACTGGGTATGTTAGAAGAGGGCATTGTCGTGAGGCTGCTGACTACATAGAGCCAAGGAGGCGCTTGATATGAGAGTAAGTATTGTGACTGAATTCAACGCGAGCTGTGTTTTTACCTCTTACCCGTTCTGAGTCCGTCCCAGCCTCGAAAGAACACAGAAAGCATAGCGCCGCCTGTTAGCAACGTGCAGAGGAACTTGGTGACGCCGCTACGACCGCACAGATCGCCGCTTGCCGGCGCAGGAGACGTCTCTAATGCAATAAGGACCTACATGCCGTCTTCTTGGTTTTGTCTTCCTTCGCTCAGAGCGCGGCGCATCCGCGGGTCAGAACGGAACGTGTTTGCCAGCCGCGCCCATCACAACGTTGATTGCAAGTTCGCGCAGCATACCATACTTAATAATCGCGTGTGTATAAAGAGTGCTAGATGCAGCGGGGTCCTTTCGCAGATGGGGCGGGAGACGAGGGAAGTTGCCGCCGTATCAACGAATGTAGTAAATGGACCTGTGTCCCCTGAGGTGTCTGTAGAATTAGCGCAATGGCCAGTATCTCATGGTCGTCGAAGCGCGCTGACATTCCGCGTCCACACCCATGAAATTCAGTGGCATCTAGCATACTCGGACTCAGCACCCTTACATTGCGCCCTCCAAGAGCGGGGTATCTCAGTCCTTCTTCGCGCGGTGGTCTGAGTGCAGGCGCTGCGCGGTGCTGACCGAGGCGTAGACGAGGTAGACGAACATGAGGAGCATGACGCTGACGGTGCCGATATCGACAAGGGGGAGGTGGTCGGGTGTGCCCACAGGAATGACGATGTGAGCACGTTCGTCGGCTGCGGATGAGGGGATGAGGGAGATGGCGTGTGAGGAGGCCGTCTCCAGGGGGAGGTATGGCTGGAGCTGAGGGGGCGGTGGGGGAGGGTGTGCTAGCGTGCGTGCTGTGAGAGAGAAAGGCAAGGAAGGCATGACGGCTACTGACCGGAGGAGGGACAGGCCCAGAAGCCCAGCGGCGGGGGCAGCGCGATGGGATGGTAGGAGGCAGGAGCGGGGATACCGTACCTGGCATGCAGAGGGACGTCGACGAGCACATCTGGCGCAGTGCGCGGGGCGTGGACGTCTAGGATCAGGACAGAGTCTGCGTGGTCGACTGCCGCGACGGGCAGCTCGAGGTCGGAGGCGGGATGGAGGCGGGCGGAGTAGGCGGGGCGCAGAGCGAGCTCGTAGGGGTCTGCATAGACGTCTGGTGGGAGGACATGCAGGACATGCAGGCTGCAGTGTGCGACCGGGGGCCAGTCGTCGACGCGCATGCGAGAGGACGCGGTGAGGTGGAAGCCCTGCCCAAACACGGAGGTCGAGAGAGCCATGACTGGCGTCTGCCCGCTAGTAGGTACGGTGACCTGCTAAATTAGCTTAGGCCTGTGCGAGAGGTCAAATCAACCTATGTAATTTACGGCTAATTAGCCGGTATAGAACATGGCCCAATAAGGACTTCTAGCCACTAAAGTAGCCTTATATAACGTTCAAGTCGTCCAGCGACCGAACACCTGGACAGCACGCAACTGCTACTATTCATCCCAGGTACGTCACTGGCCTCTAAATTCAATACATGCTCTACTCTAACTTAGTCCCAACGCAGTACTTTGGGACGCTTGCTAGCAAGAATGTCCTTCCGAAATGGCGTGTTGAGGTCGGATACTACGATTGATAACAACCGCAAGGCTCAACTCCTGCCGCATCTTGAACCTGTACCACCACCTGGTCGGTTTTTTCCCACGCTCCGCGGGGGCTGGGGGATGTGGTCCCTCGACCGTGAGGTCGTTGTATTGGTAGCGGGTGGTGGAGCAGTGTCATCTCTGCTGTCCGCTCGCCCAACTTAAAAGCTAGTGGCAGTTGGGTGACCTTGTAGAGGAGCCCTCCCTTGGTAAAGGAGGTTCGCAAGATGGCTACGGAAGCTCTATCTACTTCGCAGTTGGAGTCTGTACCACTGCACTCTGAGCATGGAGCTCTCCCTTGGTGAAGGAGGTTTGCAAGATCACTATTGAAGCTCCAGGCTCATCCTCCTCTCCTCTGCAAGGGAGGGTTTCCCCAAGTGGGGCATACTGTTTACACCTAATTGGGAGGCGCCTGTGGCCGCCACCTGCACCTGCTGATTACCAACTGGGAAGGTGCCTGTGGCCGCTCACAAACATGGGTATGCTCCTTCCCAAAAGGGACCGATAAGGATAGGGGGCGATAAGAAGGGGAATGTCGTGACAACAAGCCGACCTTTGGGACAGGCCACCCCTCTCCACATTGACTATGTCTAGTTGTGGATGTTAGTCGGGATCACTCAAACTCCAGGGCAGGCATCTTGGATGTCCTGTGACTTGCACCCTGGTAGCAGCCCTGGCGAGACGGAGAGCCCTGCCAGTTATACGGGAATCTGCGCTGGATGGCATCAGCAAACCGGCTGCGGGGTTACGGGAAGGTGATCTGGGCTCGCCACCTGGACTCAATCACTGGGCTGTAGCGAGGACATCGGGAGAACTGGGTTCTTGGCTCGAGAGGTCAAAATCCTCCGTCGGTGGAGCTTCTGGATAAGACCAGCTCTCTGCTTAAGTTGTTATCACGTCACGGTCTGTCTTGCAGTCAATGGGCTGCCAGAAGGGTATTATGTCCGCAAGGGGCCCTTTGGATGGGAAGTGGCTCGTCGGGTTCTATTTGGATGTAACCAGCCCTGCCTTAGTGGGCTGTCGGCGGGATGGGGCACCTGGGTACTCGGGAGGCCGCATGTGCGGCAGCGTGAGCGCTCCCCGTGAGTGGTTGTGGCGAGGGGTGGTGGAATCGGAGACTGCAGGATGCTGAGAGGGGGGTGCTTAGGGCCTGTCTGACGTGCTTGTTATTACTCTGCATGTACCTTGTTGTACGGAGTCTAAACATCGCATTCAAAAAAAAAAGGCTCAACTCCTACTGTGTCCGCCGGAACATGTCCAAAATTAGTGCAGGTCACTTAACCCTATTTAACCCTTGTTTTTCGAGCCTCGTGAAATCTAGCGCTAATTAGCAAGGGTTAATTAACCGAGGCTAATTAGCCCGGCCTATTTCACCGTACCCTACTGCCCGCGGCCATCTCTCTCTCATGTCTCAATCATCGCAGCCCCCCTCCCCCCGTCTCACCCACCGCGATCTCGCTCACGTCGACGGCGTGCTCCAGCTGCACTCCGCAGAGGGCGCTCTGCTCCCCGCAGATGCCCCTCGCGCCATGTTCGGCGCAGGCGGGCCCATGTGAGCAGCCTACAAGCATCTGCTGCCCCTCTGCACTGGCTGAGGCATCCGTCCAGGTTGAAGCAATTCGACCAGTCCGCCGCATCGAGCAAGATCGCCTCGCAGACTGCAACCCCTCCCATCTCAGTAGTCGGCATCGGAAACAAGGGTGCGTCCTCACTCGCAGCCGTCCTGACGCTCGTCTCAGTCCTGCAGTCGCAAAGCCCGACTACTCCGAGGCCAAGATCGTGGTCGCCACCGTATGTACCTCTCTCCCGCGCTCCCCAGCTCATCGCAGAAAGCATCTCCACTCTAGGTCGGGCTCCCCGCGCGTGGAAAGTCCTACCTCAGCAACAAGCTCATGCGATATCTTACGGTCTGAGCTCTTCACTCTGTCATGCATACGCCCGTTGACAGCAGCGCAGTGGTTGGAATATAACGTCAAGGTATAGCTCCCTATCCAGACATGTTTGCACTCGTCCTCCTGTCTCATATCCAAACTACACGTAGACAATCACATGTTACCCGAGGCTTTGGTCCTGTGCCTTGCCTCGCAATGTTCTTACCACTACGTTGGCTCCCTTGCATACTTGAATAGCATGGAAGGGATTCAGCCTGTAGGGGCATTCCTCCTGCTGGGTGCCAATTTCACACGACCTACTTTTTGGACCCGCGCGGCAGTGACAGCCCTGCCATCTCCTCAATCCCTGCATGCATCTTGCAACAACTCTTGATACTGTTGATAACAAGCCATTCAGTGCTGCACCACATTCTCGCCAGGAGATGTAAGGATGATCGCATGCCTACCGGCTTGAACGCAGGCGAAATCACTCACGAGTCCCTGGGCGCAGACGTCGTTACGTCTATCACGTCTGTCGTTTGTTCACTGCATGAGGGCATGTCATATCACTAAGGCAAACTGCTCGTACTTCGCTGCTGCACATAACCGCTCGCCGGCGAGACTCTTCGCGCACGCGCTTACACTGCCGGAAACAGGTCTTCAATGTCGGACAACTGCGCCGCTCACGCGCACGGCAGCGCGCGATGACGTACGTGCTTCCTCCCGCTCCGCCCTCGCAGCACGAATGATGCAGCGTCCGAAGCGGCCACCGCGAGAACCACTCGGCGGAGTACTTCAGCCACCAGAACGCCGAGGCCACGCGCCTGCGCGACAAGCTCGCGGAGGACAGCCTGGAGATGCTGATCCAGTGGCTCAAGGACGGCGGGAACGTCGGGATACACGGTTTGTGGCCTGCGCCGGGGAAATGCGAGCGGTGCGCGGACTGACGGCGCGCGCGCAGACGCGACGAACAGCACGAAGAGCCGGAGGTGCGTGTCTCCTGCGCCGCGGGCGGTGCGCGGTGCGCGATGCTCACGGCGTCGGCGTGCAGGGCGAAGATCGAGCAGCGGGTCGCGCGCGAGAAGGGCATCGTGGTGATCTTCCTCGAGTCGATCTGCGACGACCCGGCGGTGATCGCGGCGAACGTCGCGCTGAAGGTGTCGTCGGGCGACCCGGACTACAAGGACATGTCGCCCGAGGAGGCCAAGGCGGACTTTCTGCGGCGGATCCGCGCGTACGAGGCGGTGTACGAGACCATCGAGGAGCCGCGGCTGTCATACCTCAAGATCATCAACGTCGGGAACCGCGTCACGATGAACCACATCCGCGGGTACCTGCAGAGCCGCATCGCGTTCTACCTGATGAACCTGCACCTGAAGCCGCGGAGCATATTCATGTCGCGGGTGAGTGGCGCGGCGCGCTGGTCTGGTCGGGAAGTGCGCTCATGCGGTCGTGTGCAGCACGGCGAGAGCCAGTACAACGTGGACGGATTGATCGGCGGGGACTCGCTGCTGTCGGAGCGCGGCATGACGTACGCGCGTGCGCTGCCCGCCCTGATCACAGAGAACATCGGCGATGCGCCGCTGACGGTGCGTGCGCCCACCCACGCGCTGCCGGCCCCATGCTGACCCGCTGCAGGTCTGGACGTCCACGCTGCAGCGCACGATCCAGACGGCGCAGCTGCTGCCGTACACCAAGCTCACGTGGAAGTCGCTCGACGAGCTCGACGCGGGCGTGTGCGACGGGATGACGTACGAGGAGATCGAGGTGCGTGCGGTGTTGCGTGCGCGGATGTGTGGCTGACGCGTGGCGGCAGCAAGCTTACCCAGAGGACTTTGCGAACCGCGACGAGGACAAGTTCAACTACCGCTACCGCGGCGGCGAGTCGTACCGCGACGTCGTCGTGCGGCTCGAGCCCGTCATCATGGAGCTAGAGCGGCAGGAGAACATCCTGATCATCGGACATCAGGTGCGTGGCTGCGCGCTGGCTAGTCTGGGGTGGGGGCGACATCTGCTGACGGCCGTGTGCCAGGCGATTCTGCGCTGTCTGTGAGTGTCCCAAGAAAGTGAGGGCGGAGGCATGCTGACGCTGTGTGCAGCTATGCGTACTTCCACAACCTCCCCCAGGCGGACCTGCCGTACATCAAGATACCCCTGCATACGGTGATCAAGCTGACGCCGAAGGCATACGGCTGTGACGAAGAGAGGTGTGTCGCTCTTGCTTGTGTTGAGGCATCCGTGTTGTCAGGCTGAGCGCGTGCCGAGATATACGCTGCCCATTGAGGCCGTGGACACTCACCGACCGAAGCCGAAAGCGGCTCACCAACCGGCCGAGGTGCCCATGTCTACGTCCAAGCGTCAGTACTATGCGGACGGAAACGCGAATCGGTAGTGCATCACATACGCAGTGGATGTGTAGGAATTTAACGGAGGAGATCGGTAATATAATAAGCCCAAGGTGTCTAGCTTCGAACTCGACACTACGGCCCTCATTCTCTGTGGCGCTGTCGTGAGGCTGCTGACCGCATATTGCGAGTGGTACGATAGAGATCGAGTTCATACGATCAGTCATTCAAGATTCAGCACTCCGAGTAAGGTATCCTGGGCGCTCCTTGAAGATTTTTGTAAGGCGCTGCTAGAAATAGGGACTCCGCCGATATGGGATCCCTGTCTGACTCCCTGTAAGTCTTCACTCAGGGCTCTAAGCTCCATGGCGCACTTACGCAGATGGGTTCTCTAGCCAGGGAGATCATCGCTCCGTGCAGAGCAACATGGCATGATCGCGAGGCCAACGGCTTTAGAAGCCCCACGCTAGCCCTCCCGAGATTGCGTCCACGCCCCCTCGTGAATTTGACGGAACACGACAATTTCCCCAGCGGATCCATACCCGACTCAATATTCCACGGATTCAATCTTGGCGGAAGCAATATACAGCAAAACCAATATTGATAGACTTCCCTCGCAAAGTACACGTAGGCGGCATGGAGCATAGCGGCGCTCGGCACCTCGGGGGCTACGAGCCCTCATAGGCCTCATACCTCAGAGATCTTGGCAGTGTTGTTCACGGCAGCCATATATAGTATGTAATCCACGCCGATGTCTCGATTTTCGTCTATTTGTCGAGGTCTGGATCGTCGCTCTCTGCTTCTGCAAGCAAAGGTAGACAGCGACGAACTCTGCGATACCAGTAGCTTCCTTAATTTGACCATTAGTCATGGAGCCAGACATGTGTACACGGAATCTCTTCTGAGGAGGGATATATCGTCCATTACTGACCATGACGGCGAAAGGACGAGGGGATTACAGCGAGCGTCCACCTCACGATCCTCATTTAGTAGCCCATCGGCCACCCGTCAACATCTCCACACCACTGCCGAGGCCCGAGTCCTGCCGCGAGCTTCTACCCCATCTTGCTTCAATGTATGCTTCGCGAGGGAAGGTCTGTAAGTACTGTTATCCGTGTACACTGAGCACGCGCCGGCTATGGTGACAGAAAAACCAGTGTCCGTGACGGCAATACTGTAATCACTCTTCCTACCACAGTGCTGACCAGTGTTGCGTATCTGACACCCGGCATTGAGCGTGCGTATAAGCAATCACAAGCAGGCAACTCACCGTCATAGTCGTTTGAGGAGTTCTGGATCAGGGAGCAAACATGTGCCACTACTCGCTCTCCCGCGTCACATGAACCGACTGGCCATCCTCCCCGCTCCGCTTCCA